CGTGCACTTTTTCGACATCTCAACTTCCAAAAGTGGTCCGAACCTGGTGTGTTTTGTACATTTTGACTTCGAAATGTGCTTTGCGCCACAACGGCGTGCACTTTTTCCACATCGCAACTTCCAAAAGTGGTCCGAGAATTGTGTGTTTTGTACATTTTGACTTCGAAATGTGCTTTGCGCCACAACGGCGTGCAGGTTTTCCACATCGCAACTTCCAAAAGTGGTCCGAACCTGGTGTGTTTTGTACATTTTGACTTCGAAATGTGCTTCGCGCCACAACGGCGTGCACTTTTTCGACATCTCAACTTCCAAAAGTGGTCCGAACCTGGTGTGTTTTGTACATTTTGACTTCGAAATGTGCTTTGCGCCACAACGGCGTGCACTTTTCCCACATCGCAACTTCCAAAAGTGGTCCGAGAATTGTGTGTTTTGTACATTTTGATTTCGAAATGTGCTTCGCGCCACTTTTTCATCTCTCCTCTGGCCAGCTGGCTCCGCACCCGCCGCTTTAGCGAGCCTACTTTTCGACCCTCCGGAGCCACAAATCATTGGAAAAACACAGTGTTTCGCGGCTTTCCTACCTTTTCGCGCATCTGCATCTTCTGTCTTCTTACTCTTTCTCTTCTACTCTTCTTTCTTCTAATCTTTCTCTTCTCTCTGCCTCTTCCCTGCTCTGCTCTTCATCTCCATATTGTCGGAAGTTTGACTTCTAAACTTCCTTCGATCAAAGGAAGTTGGGAAGCAATACTTCCGAGTTACGGATGACTTTTAGCTGATGGAATTGACCTTGATGAAGGGTGGTGTGAGACTTTACATCACATAACAATACATCACAAAAGAATTGACCTTGATGAAGGGTGGTGTGAGACTTTACATCACATAACAATACATCACAAAAGAATTGACCTTGATGGAGGGCGGTGTGAGACTTTACATCACATAACAATACATCACAAAAGACTTGACCTTGATGAAGGGCGGTGTGAGACTTTACATCACATAACAATACATCACAAAAGAATTGACCTTGATGAAGGGCGGTGTGAGACTTTACATCGCATAACAATACATCACAAAAGAATTGACCTTGATGAAGGGCGGTGTGTGACTTTACACTACATAGCAATACATCACAAAAGAATTGACCTGCATGATTGTTGTCATCTGACGTTGCCATGTGTGTAGAGAGATGCAGGTTTGCTACGGAGTGCTGCAAAACACATTGTAATGGCTGCATGAATGTTGCATGGGCTTTGTTTTGGGGAGGAAGCCGGAGCACGAAACCTTGTATTTTTCCATGTAAAGTGGCTGCAGCCGGCGATGAAAGGTACCTCCTGTGTGCGGCGGTCGCGGCTGGGGTGTTTTGGAATCTGTGGTTGCAGATCGCATTGGAATGGCTGCATGAATGTTGCATGGGCTTTGTTTTGGGGAGGAAGCCCGGAGCAGGAAACCTTGCGTTTTTCCGTGTAAAGTGGCTGCAGCCGGCGATGAAAGGTGCCTCGTGTGTGCGGCGGTTGCGGCTGCGGTCGTTTGGTTCCTCCTCTGTGTTCTGTAACAAGTGGTTGCTCCTGTGTGCGTAGTTCTATTCGTTTCTTGAAGCTGTGGTTGCAGATCGCACTGGAATGGCTGCATGAATGTTGCATGCTCTGTGTTGTGGGGAGGAAGCCGGAGCAGGAAACCTTGTGTTTTTCCGTGTAAAGTGGCTGCAGCCGGCGACGAAAGGTACCTCCTGTGTGCGGTCGGTTGGCTTGGGCGGTGTGGAGTGTGAAGAGTGCAGGGAGAAGTGAGAAGTGCTGCGAAGTGCGAAGTGGAGCTTCACATGTGACATGTGAAAGAGGACACAACTTTCACAGAGTGCACGCACGCACGGGCTTGGCTGGCGCACGGCCCATGCAAGTTCTATAGGTGAGAAAGGTCTTATATATATCCCTAAGGCAACTTCCGCCCCGCCTCGTGCGGGTACTACTGGTATATACCTATTTTTTGAAACAGCTCGGACAGGCATACATTGCTATGCCACTGCGTTGATTTGGGGACAGCTATTGGCTATTGCATTTTGTTATCCTCATGTCTGTCTTGATGCACTGTCTATGCAGATGATACGTTGCTCATGGGGGTATCCAATTTACACTTGACCGATGACATGCAGGCTGTAGCGGCTGCTGGTCGCAAGAACGGGATGGAACTTCATTATGGCAAATTCCAACTATTAGGCGTATGTTGCAGCCCTGATGTTCGTTTACCAGACAACACATGCGTACAAACACAAGAATCTATGATGTACTTGAGCACAATGCTAACTGCTGATGGTAGGCACGGAAACGAACTATCTAGACGCATTGGCATGGCTAAACGTGATTTTGCAGCGCTGCAAAAGGTTGGAAACATTCATAGCTGCACTACCGCCAAAAAAATGCAAATTTACAAGACTGTGGTCGAATCAAGGCTCCTCTATCGCCTGGGCTCACTGGTTTTGACAAAACAAGAAAAACGTCGCATAGACAGTTTCCAGAACAGATGTTCACGTTCTATTTTGGGAATACAGCCATCCGTCTTGTCCAGAACACCAAATGCCGAAGTCTTGCAACGGAGTGGGCACGTTTCAGTATCCAAACTTCTTTAACGCAAGCAAGTGTTGCTCTTGGGAAAGACCCTGCGTTGTCACTCGAACCACCCTCTGAGACAAGTGTCGTTTGTGCCTGGCACGTGCACTGCTGCTACATCTCGAGAAGGGTAGGTCGGCCTCGTAAAGGGTGGATACCTGAAGTTTTCTCTTTAGCACTTTCTTGTACAGGTAGTATTCAAGTTTTGTTGTTTTCTGTTCAGAATGAAATGCAGTGGCGCCAGCTGGTTTTGAATGGTTTGAGCCAATGAATCGATTGGGGCCAGTCGATAGTGCCTTTTTAGCTTGCATATTATCTTGCATGTGGTGTGCATACTTGTGTTGGAGTTGCCCACGCGCGGGGCGCACGGCTTGACAGAAAGACAGACAGACAGACAGCCAGCCAGCCAGCCAGCCAGGCAGGCAGACAGACAGACAGAGAGACAGAGAGACAGAGAGACAGAGAGACAGAGAGAAAGAGAGACAGAGAGACAGAGAGACAGAGAGACAGAGAGACAGAGAGAAAGAGAGACAGAGAGACAGAGAGACAGAGAGACAGAGAGAGAGAGAGAGAGAGAGAGAGAGAGAGAGAGAGAGAGAGAGAGAGAGAGAGAGAGAGAGACAGAGAGAGAGGGAGACAGAGAGAGAGAGAGA